TACTTCGCTAATCATGAATATTTGAGGTGAAAAATTAGATCTGTAAATGTTAAAGCATTGAAAAGACTCCTCAATTCTTACGGAACTTATCCCAGCTAAAAATAAAATATTTTATTGAAATCAGGCATGTTCAGAAAAATGTCGATTCAAAAACCACAAGTGGGTGTCGTTGAGGTTTTGGATATTGCATTTCAACTCGATCATGACTCCATAGGCCTATTCTGTTCTGCCATCGTCAATCAAGAGGTCTCCAAACTGCTTGTAAGCTTTTCCTAAAGCGCAAATCGGCCTGATGAATTGAGGGTTTCAACGTTTTGTTAATGCTCAAGTTAGTCATGCTCAATATATCTCATTCAATAAATGAATCTTACGCGTACCAAGAGAAATTGAACAGAGGATAGGTCACAATGATGGTTTCGTTAGAGGAACCTGCGATTGAATGATCTTCCCAATCACCAGACAGCTTTTGCTTATCCATAAGCAGCTTACAAGCCCTTTTGATGGGGCGATGATCTGGGTATTTGACTGCCAATAATCCCAAGATGGCCCAAGAGGTTTGAACAACCTGTGATTCCGTACCCTGCATGTAAAATTTCTGGGCACATGACTGTCATTTTAATTCAACTGAATAAGTTCTTTCATGGTCCTTGATTGCATTTCTTTTTTAGAGTATGAGAAAGCCATCTAGGTATGTAAGTGATCCTGACCTCAAACCTTTCACTCCAACCTCCATCTACCATTTGTCTGTCTAGCAAAAACTTGCATGCCTTTTGGGCTCGGGTACTGTTTTCGTAGTTTTCTTGATTCACGGAGAGTGATTCGAGACCAAACATGGTTGCATATGTGAAGCTACATTGCAAATTAGTTTTCCCCAAAATCCGATTTAGTAATGAAATATCAATTTCATGTTACCTGAACAATTGTTTGCTGCGCTTCATGCTTACCAAACTCCCCAGGATCCGTGCCATGATCCGTCCTCCCTCTGGGTTGAATGAACAAATTTAAGTGCTGACTGAATAGCTTGTCTGTGATAGGAGATGTTACATTCAACGAAGAAAAAGAGGTCCCATAACATGTTTTGTTCTTGTGGTAATCCAATGCTCACTTTATCTCGGAATTTCGAAATTCTGGATGGTACTTTGAAAACATACTCATCGCAGTTAAGCAAGCAGTTGTACATTCGGTGTAACTATATCTGCAAGCATCCATAGTGCCTTTAGCTTGAGCGTTCATGGTGTTAGTAAAAATAAATGAGCAAATCTCTTACTCTATCATTGCATTTGCAAACAGCTCCGATGGATTCAGCCATTCTAACCACTTTGGTCCTCGTGTCAGCTCATATGAAGCGAATCCCCCATCGGAGTTTTGAAGGCCTAAGATGACTTCAATCGCCATGTAAAGACGCTCTTTTGTCACTAATTCGGGAGTATAGCTGAGAATCCAATGATGAAGTCACGTAATGAGGAAAGAATTAAACTCGAAAAAATAAACAAAACAAGATTGAAAGACAAAACAGATGTGGATGAAGACTTGATGCTCACTTCAGCTCTTGTTGAAGCAACATTACAGATTTCAAAGCTTCAGCCGTGCAATCACTAACGGTATATGATTGCTTCTTGGTACTAAAAGGCCACGCTCCACGAGTCCTGTGGCGGTGAGAATTATGGTAATGCTACAAAAATGGCACGGTGGATCAAAAACTGAGATGAGAAAGTTTTTTAAGCCCAAATGCAAAAAACGGATAATACCTTAGGGTTTTCCAGAATTTGACATCTATCAAGCCAACCAAGGGCTTTCACTAGCGTTTCTTGACTGGGTTTGTCTTCAGTTTCAGCTATCCCGCTTTCTACAACTGCTTGAGTGATGAACGATAAATCCCATAACTGTGATCCATTGGTCGCCATCATAAACATTCCTTTACTGTTCAGGACAGGAGTAATACAATCAAGACAGAATAGAATGAGATTTGATTTGAATAAGAATAACAAGTAAATTGGAATCGTGCAAGATTCTCACTTTGTCATCCATAAATAGTCTCCTAATCCACGCTGATGTCTCACAAATGCTTTGCTTCCAGGACCGTCTCGGTCCCAGCAGACCAAGAGATTGAACAGTTTGTTGATTGGTCCCAGGTGTATGAAATCCGTATTCTCATCTTCCATTCTGCAAAGTTGATGAACGTGATTCTAATTACAGATATTTTTTGGGATGGGATCAGATTTCGTTTTACCTCGTTGGTTCAATCTTGTTCAGTTAGTAAAAAAACTTACTAGACCCATTTCTCTTAGTCTTTGTGGACAGATTTTTTCCCAGTATGACAGCATTATGAATGCGCATTTGAGGGCCGGATGGTGAGGGGAATGCAAGTCTGTTTCCGAGATAAGGCTCCGACAAGAAAGCCAATCGATATCTTCATAAGGTTGTATATACAGCTCTTTTCTCAATGCCTTGAGGAGGGGATCCAATTCCGCTTTGGCTTTTCTACCTGCCAGGTAGCTCATCGGGATGTAAACCTGACGGGAATGAACCCACCACCTTGATGGATGAAAAGGCAGAAAACTGGGTAGGAGCCAGCTCTCGGGTGGCGTAGGATTTATTCCTTCCCAACTAAATAGAACTTCACCATGATCAGATGGAAGTATACCGCTAAACAAATCTGGATGAGATAAATCACCCACTCATATACATTCAAAACGGATAGCCATACTTTCCCCCATGTGGGGATACAAGCAGCCCCGCCTGTCGGGAGAGAAGTTCATCAAGAGGACATCAATCGCGTGCCAGATTTTGAGCGATCCAAGTAATAGAGAAATACGACTTACCCAGTGCATGTAATGTGTCTCGCGCTCGAGCAAGCATAGGAACCTGGGCATCTAAGCCCAGCAAACGACAAGCTACATAGTTGAGGGCAGTCCCAAGCACAGTTGATTTCTGAGAAACATTACTGAAAAAAAGAAGAATTACCCAATCGTGTGGTTAGGAACCATAGAATCAAGATGAAGAATTAAGCCTGTGAACAAAAGAATGGTATAAACTCTTCTCACAGTCCCCAACCTTGGTCACGAACATCATTGTTTTGGCGTTGGTGGTGGACAAGATAACGCAACAATTCGATTTTGAATTCTTCAGGCAAAACTGTCTTGGTGACATAACAACTGATTACCAATCCTATATGGGAATAGCAAATCAGTAAAAAAATCTCCGGGTTTGAAATCTTTACAAAAATATTGTAAACATGAAATTTTAGGTACCTGGCGTCAGAAAGAGAGGACCTAATGACGATGTAGAGAGATTTTCAGGTGTTGGCTAGGATCAAGATTAATGATACTGTCTTGAAAGTAAGCACACATACCGCCGTATTCAGAACTAAATTACCAGGAAATAGAGAGATAGTTCGATCAGACTGGCA